GAAAGAGAAATGGAAATTAAGAAATCACTTCCCATGGGAGATGACCAAGCCATGATTTCTTCTCATCCATTTCCCTCTCAGGATTTTTGGGTACACAAGCAAATGTGCTTGGTGTGTTTTTCAAGCTTCCAAGTCTAGGGCTCAAACTGGGCACTCAGCCATGTGGAATCCAGCCCACTTAACCACTATGCCATCATTTGGCCCCATTGGCTATTTTTTGTAACCAGAATATTACAATGTATTCTATTGTAAGTAGTTCAAACATTTGATTTATAGATGCTCTTAAAAACCATTGAAAACTATAAATTCCTCTCTCTCCAGAAGAAAAGTTAGCATATGCATACAAACCAAAATGTGCAGATAATACTAGGTACTGTTAAAAGAAAAAGAAACCAGCCAATTTAATAGAATTTTAATAGACCAAATTTTAACATGACTTAAATTGGGCAGTTGTCCCCAGACTTCCAAACAACTCTGGCCAGCCTCATGGTCAACTCGGCCTTTTAAGTCTGCAGAACAGGAAAGTGAGGTGCAGTAAAAGGTAAGTGTTGTACACAAAATGTAAGTGAGGGAGTGAGATAGAGAAATCATTGGTTATATTCTGAAGATTGTCTGCATTAACACGGTTTAAAAGGCGGGATGCCTGTGATTGACTGAAGCCTAGCTGCTGTGATTGGCTGTAACTTAGAAACCAGCTCAGAAAAACAGCCTTACATGTATGATTTCAGCTTATCCATAGGAACCAAAGTGTGAGAGTACAGCGTCTGTAAACTATTTTAGGTCAAAATAGTTTAATTTAACAGTACTCAATGACATTCTGATGTCCACCGGTGGATCCTCTATTGGTTCCAGAACCATGGCTGGCACATGTCTATGGAGTAGGGGAGGAGGAGAGAAACAAAGCATAAGTATGTCTTAGTCAACTGCTTAGATATGAGCAAAAGACTCCATGTTTTATTCTTTGACATTGGAGCAAAATGGCATCCCAAAGGACATAGGTGCACTGAGAATGATGAGTTATGGCTACATAGATGCTAACAAATGAACTATTCACAAGCAAACAATTCAGTAGAATCCATCTACTGGACTGAGCTCTCACACAGATGGGAGGAAGCACTTATTCTTAGGCTTATGAACTGGAGGGCTCCTATTAAGGTCATGGAGACAAGTTTAATTCCAACAAGCACCTTCCTTAAAGTGGGTACAGAGATGAAAAGAATCCCAAGTAGATGGCACCATGGTGTGGTAGAAAAACATCAGAAATGGAAGTGGTGGTCACAAACTTGAGCCTTTCAAGGACCAGTTAGGGACAACAGGGTGAAATGACAGGAAGTAAAGAGGATGGTAGTCCCTGGAGGATCACCTTCCAAATGCTTTATTAAAAACTGCTTAGAGCTAGCCAGTGGTGTGGTGACTGAGGCATCTGGACCTTAATGGCTAACTACAAATTCCGGACCTGGCAGTTTAAAAAACACACTGGGCATGTGCGGATGTATGCCCAAAATCCTGAAAGAAGGGATTACAGTGTGATTATTTCCCATGGGGGTATGGGAAATCCTTCCCCCCCCCTCTCGAACACTCTCTCCAGCAAGTTGAAACAAAACAAAACAAAATAATGCTGATCCATTTTTCCCAATGCATGTCTGAAGCTAGTTTTTGCCATCTCTGGAGTCAGAAGACAGTTGGTTGAACCCTAGGTTTACCTCTTACTAGCAGACGACCTCAGCAGTGTACCATAGCCACTTTGAGGTTCAGTTTCCCTTCTCTGTGAAGTAGGAGCCATACCACCTGTCTTTGAACTGAGGTCACAAAATTCACAATAATGTATATGAAGTGCACAGCACTGGACTTGGTGCAATCAATTTAGCTGTTATCAGAGTTCCAGGATCTAGATAGTGCGCCTGTTTCCCTGGAAATTTATTAATAGAAATTTAGCAATAAACTTTAGAAGCGACCACTAAAGTTATTTGAATAATTACAACAGTCATTCAAGCTAAGTCATCTCAACACTCAGAAGTTACCTACCCAATAATCTGCAACCTATTAAGGACTGTGTTAGACATAGAGTGATTCTGCATGAGGGATAAAAAAACAACTGTTATATGTTTTTCAGGGTCTGAAGGATGCAGAGCCCTAAAAGGGATTTCCTGTTGCCTCTTAGGCAGCTGAAGCATTAGTGATTAACTGACTGGAGAGGCGAGAACTAACCAATATGGAGGGAAGTTTGCAGAAGTGCTACTTGGCACCATTGCTAAAGGTGCTGGTCTCAGCTTTAGCAACTCAGAGTCTCAGTGTGTCTCTTCTTGGCAGGAATTCCCATGAAGCAAGCGAGTCAGGATATTGCCAGTATGAGGTTAAACCCTACTTTCATTTAAATGTTTGATATTTTGTTCATCATGGACTTTTTACATCAGATGATACTTTGATATTTATTAAAATGAGGATTTTGATTGCTGAGGGTTTTTTTGAGTTCCTTATATTTTTTTTACCCTAACTCTAGCCCTACTATTCTCTGAATTTTAAATTGCTGAAATCTAGGAGAATTTCATTTGGTGATTCATCAAAAAGACTTATAAGACTCAATAGCAAGTTATAATTAGAGCCAAGATTTATCACAGCGAAGTATTAGCAGCAGGAAAAAGAAATGCATTGATGGAATCCAGACAGGTCCACAAGCTTCTGATGTCTTTCCTAGTAAGAGGATCCATAGGAGTGCTCTCTCGCTAGCAGTGAACTTCAGTACATGTGTAGAATGACTCTTTCTAGGCACACCCCTTTGAGATCAGAGACCAAGGCCTTTATAGTGGTGAGGGGTGCCTGTCACACAGACATGTCTTGCTCAGGATCCCCAAAATAAAACAAGATGCACATTATCAATATTGATGGGACCAGAAAACAACCTAACAAGACAGTGTGACATGGTCATCACTTCAGGTATATATAAGGAAGTGATCAATCACTAACACAAAGAACACGGAGAAGGCCACATTCCTGGAGGTTAGTAAAGAGTGGATCATGGTTCTCTTGGAGATGGGCAAGGAGTAAGTAAGTAGCCCTGCTGCATTAATTCTTTCCTCACAAGGAGTCGTGTGGATAATCAAAATGTCCCTCTTACTATAAGTACTCATGGCACTAGATTGTTCCCATTGAAGACTATGGCTCAGATGCTTGTCAACAGACTTCCTACTAACTGCTTGAAGCCTAGACCTTGCAATAATCCACCTGTGAAAGAATCTATAGCAGCAGAAGAGAAATTTAGCTGCCCAGGTGAAAAGATATTGCTACTTTGCAAAACTATCGAGCCCCAAAAGTAAGGACAGAAGGAAATGACCTTCCCGACCTCTCTGTAAAAGGCAGACTGTGCTTAGCTCCCATGTGCCATTCAGAAGGCCAGTGGGGAGGCATGCCTATCCCTTGAGCAAGGAATCCTGAAAAGGAGGGAGGACAGGCACAAGCAAATTCCTTCAATAGCAAATTTTTTTTTTTTGAGAGGTTTTTTGCTATAGGGCGTATGTGCTCACCAGAAAGACAGAGAGAGACAGAAAGATAGAAAGTGAGAAACCACCCGCCAGGGAAGATGGTCACGCCACAATCCCTTCTCCTCCATTCTCCTCTCAGGATCTTGGGCACACTCGCACACGCACCCAGCGTGAGTTCAAGTCACTGGGTCCGGGACTTGAACCATGGTCAGCTACGTGGGAGTTCAGTGACACAGCCAATATGCTAACTGCTGGTCCCCAATAGCAGATTTTTTGATGGAAACATGAGAACAAGAGTGTATGTCATCAAAGAGAACGACCTCCAAAACCACATCTATGCTTAAAAACAAGTTCCATCCTACACTTCAAGTAATGGGCAAGATGACATCTCCTCTGGCCAGAGTTCAAAACCACTTTTCCTGTTTGTAATGAGGCTTCAGATGAATTTTCCCAGCAGTAGACTTATGCCCCTTTCCCCTTTCAATGGAAAAGCAGTGTCCTGAGGACCTAGCCTCAGGCAACTGAGTTCCTCATCCACTTCAGCTAATGGCACAGAGTAAGTGTTAATAAACTATAGCCCGAGGAGATGCATATCCAGCCCTCCACTTGTTTGTAAATAAACTTTCACTGGAACACAGCCACACCCATTTGTGGATGGTCTGAGGCTGCTTTTGTACTACAATAGCAAATCTTAGAGGAGATAGAGACTGCATGGCCAGCAAAGCCTTGACATAGTGGTGAAGGTGCTAGACTCCCATGTGGATGACTATGGTTCAAGTTCCAGACCTGGTGGCTTGAAACTCCTAAGAGGAGAGTAGAGGAGAAGGGGTTGCAGTGTGGCCATCCCCCTGGGAAGTGACTTCTCACTTTCTGTCTCTCTGTCTCTGTATCTCTCTCTCTAGCAAGCATATGTGCCCTATAGCAAAAATCTCTAAAAAGAAATAGCTATGAGGCCAGCAGGTGGTGTAATGGTTAAGGCACTGGACTCCCACATGGCCAACCGCAGTTCAAGTCCTAGACTTGGTGGCTTGCTTTCTTGCTTTTCCTCTCTTTCTCTGTTGCTCTATGATCAAATTTTAAAAATAATAATGATGATGAATAAAATTAAAGAAAATAATTCTTAATTTAAAAAAGGAAATAGGTATTTTTTTTTAGTTTTTACAAAAATGGTTTGTCCACCCCTAACAGAAAAGAAGAAAAGCACATTTGTGCCACCAGTGCTCTAAAAATCGGATACTTAAGCAGAGTTTCTAAATCAGCTGCAGCAATAACAATGAAATAATAATGAATGAACTAGTGTTACTGATATCTTACTATTAGAACAAGTCAAGAAGAAAGTCAGTACACATAAGCAAAAAATATTAAATAACAGATGGGTTCTATCAGCTCTTTTCTTGAGTGTGTATATAATTCAAGCTGCCTTCTTGATTTGATTTAGCTCAACCTAAAAAAAAAAAAAAAAAAAAAAAAGCTTCCGTGAGCACGCTCTCTTTGCAAAGCCTGCCCTGAGTGTTGTGAAAATCAAAGGGGAAATGAGCAAATACCTGTAACGTGATACAGATGTTCTGGGAAAGAGATGGGTCGGCTCAGAGAATGAAGCCATAACTGGATCAAACAGTAATTAACATTGCCCACCTCTCAACAGTAAGTGGAAGTACTTCCAAAACATCTCTTAGGACACATACTTTTTCCATTTTATTCCTACTAGTTAATGCCCTAGTAAACCCTTCTTAAAAGAAAAAGAATGCAATATCATTCTAAGTTATAAAGTAGTATTGCACCTACAAACTTCTATAGCCATACTACAGCCACAAAAGAATCGTATGTTGGTCGGTTGCTTGGGCTTTTTTGTTCGTTGTTAATGTTGCTGTTGTTTCACAGTTTTTGTTATAGCGGTTTTTAACTAAGGACAGATATCTGGAAAATTGATGAGCTCTCACACAGCCGGTCCAAGTATAACTTCAGTATTTATTCAGTCAAAATTGCATATCAACTGGCCAGGGTATTTTATTATAATTATGAGTACAACATTAGTCAGACTCTGAAGTCTCATTTATACTCTCAGAGGTCCATGTGTTGAGAAGAGACCCCCTGTCGCCAGCCCCTTTGCATTTTCCCAGTAACATTAATAGGCTTTTTGAAGGTGATTGAGCATCTTTTGCATGCACATGCACACACGCACGCACGCACACGCACAATTGCCTCTGAACCTGAATGATGAGCAGGGTGGGAGTCTCTTTATTATTCTAGTTCCATGTATGGTTAAAAGGGCCCATAATTAAAGGTTTTTTGAAGAACTGATTGTTGGCCTTAGGTAGTTCTGTTATTCACAGATACGCCTCTTCCTATCTTATTGGTCTCAGCAAACTGGAGCATAGAGATGTCATTAGCAGTCATTGCCAGGACAGCAGTAGGGCATGAAAAATGACGGCATTGAGAAGAGACAAGTGAACTTGTTTCCTAACACTTCAGAATGGAGTGTGTCTTTGAGAGATACAGCCCATCAGATTAACGAGTTAGGCAGAAATTATATATAGCTGCCTTCCATACATATCTCTTCTTTATAAAGTTACTTGTGAAATAAGCTTTCATCAGTAAGATACTGCTCATTCATCAACTCCATTTATTACGTTCTTGTATGCAGAGCCCAGTACTAGATAGGGAGACACAAATATAGAGAGCATTTGTCTTTGGCAAAACGAATAGAGGAAGGATAACACAGTTAGTACGTGGTTCCTGAAACAACACTACTCAGAGTTTGGGACTTATACTTCAATGACCAGAAATCAGCTTAATTTAACTAAGGCCTTAAAAAGACCTACTCTGTGTAAGGTTCTAGGCTAGATAGTAAAACTATGGGTCAAAAATTAAGATAAGGGACCATCAGTTAGTGTAATGGCTGTGTCGCTGGACTCCCATGTAGTCAACCACGTTTGAGTCCCAGACCCAGTGGCTTAAACTCATGCCAGGCGCATGTGCATGCATGCCCAAGATCCTGAGAGGAGAATGGAGGAGAAGGGATTGTGATGTGGCCATCTCCCCTGGGGGTGATTTCTCGCTTTCTGTCTCTCTGTCTCTCTCTGTCTTTCCGGCGAGCACACGCACCCTATAGCAAAAACCTCTCGAAAATAATAAAAATTTTAAAAAATTAAGATAAAATCCCCATGCTTGGAACCAGCAGATAGTATAATAGTTATATCACTAGATACCCAAGTAGTTGTTCAAGTCTCAGATCTGGCAGCTTAAAACTCATGCCAGGTGTGTGTGTGTGCATGTCCATCATCCTGAGTGAATGGAGGAAAAGGGACGCAGTATGGGGGAGAGGGGATTTCTCACTTTCTGTCTGTCTGTCTCTCTCCAGTGAACACATACACCCTATAGCAAAAATAGCTCTCTTAAAACAAAAACAAAAACAAAAACAAAACTCCTTGCTTGATCTAGTGAGGAAGACAGGTAATAAATATCAAATATTTGCTAGTAGAATATTCAGAATACGGTTACAGAAAATAATCAAGGAAACATTCATCTTGATGGATGTTTTAAATTAGCAAATGAGAAAAGATGAGAAACAGAGTTATAGTATGGTTATGTGTCAGGAATTATTAGAATTAAAATAACACAAGTATAGTATAAAATTATTTCTGGGGCTGGCAAGTGGCATGGTGGTTAAGACACTGGACTCCCACATGGTCAGCTGTGGTTCGAGTCCTGGATCTGGCAGATTGCTTTCTCACATTCTTTGTGTGTGTGTATGTGTGTGTGTGTCTCTCTCTCTCTCTCTGGTCAAATTTTTAAAAAATAATATATTAAATTAGATATTATTTTTAAAAATTATTTCTAGCACAAGTGCTCCATGAGATTTTGTTTTGTTCACAGTAAGTTTGGCTCATTCTAGGAACTTATTAAGTTATTTGTAAATAAATGAATGAATCTAGCTCTCAAGTGTTGCTATAGCTATTGTTATAGATATAGGGTTTATTTTTCAAGAAATGAGCTATAGTTCAGAGTTTATGGTCAGGAGTAACAGTGAGGTAGACAGGACAAAAATCAAAGAGACCTTGTAAGAAGCTCAGATTTGATGGTGATCGGGAGACACTGATGAAGTTTACAAAGGACACCATGGCTGAATTGTAGTTTTGAGCTCCGGGGAGAAGACACCTGAGGAGCACAAGACTAGAAACACAAAGAGATGAGTTATGTAGATGTTGCTGAAATCCAGGTGAAAGCTGAGAAAGGTAAAATCCATGGATTAGGTAGCCAAGTTAATGTCACCTAAGGCCACCACAACGGCTAACACAAAAAGGACTGGCAATATCAAGTGTTGCCAAGGATGTGGAACAACCACAATACTAATCCTTTTCTGGTAGAGCATACATTGAAGGTCTACAGAGTATCATTTGAAAACCTCTCGGGTAGCTCTACTAGAGCAGAATCCTGCAATCCATAGGTACACAAAAGAAATGTGCTTATATGCCCCTTAAAGATGCCTCTACAAGAGTGCACAAGAATATTCCTGGCAGCACTATTTGTTATAGCCAAAATGGATAAATTGGGCTATATCTATGCAATGGTATACTAAAACGACATTGAAAAATGAAAGTACTGCCACTACCAGATAAATCTCATACGCATCATATTCAGTAAAAGAAGCCAGACACACTGTAAAATTCCACTTGTAAAAGTTCAAAAACAGACAAAGCCAATGAACTGGGAAGAACTCAGGACAGCGGTTGCCTCTGGGCACAGGGTAAGGATGGGAGAGGTAGTGTCTAGGAACAGGCCAAGCTCTAGCTCTTGATCTGGGTGGGATGCACAGTTGTGCACTCTCTTTGTGTTAATTCTTCAAATGCTGTACTTACTGTTTGTGCAGTTTTCTGAATGTATATGAATTTTTTAAATGTGATTTCAATATCCTGGCTCAGGAGACAGGGTGATTGATAGTGCCCAGTGCTAGGTTCAATGTGTCTAAAAGAAGTCAACACCACAGTAGCCAAGGCTCTTACGTATTTATGGTTTCTGGCTGCCCTTCGTGGTTATCAACGTGCCATAGTACAGGCATGTCACAGTTTCATGGCCATGGAAATCACCCCTCCCGGGAAAACCTCCCTCTCAGGGCTGCATCTTTTTATTTCTTATACTCCCAGGGCCTATGTGGTCCTTCCCTGAGGGACAGTTTCCTCCAATCAGCCCATCTTTAGGGTCCCTCAAACTCTTGACTCCACACTGCCCTTTGGCAGTGAGGAAGGACTGAAATTAGCAGGCATAGTTAGATCCAGCAAGATCATCACCAGAAAGATAACAAAAATATCTTCCTATAGATTACTGGGGGGTCCAGAGAATTACTTAGAATAGCATGGTGGGGGTCATGAGAAACAGACACTCTTCAGTAACTTCTCATCCCTTCCTTACCAGTGCTTTTCTTCTGCCCAGATGGTCTTCCATGCTCCTTCACTTGAGTCAAGTTCTATTCCTGCCACTCTTGAGGCAGGCAGGTAGAACACAGAGACTTGGGAGGAATCTTGCATGGGAGAAGGATAATTGTCCACTGTCCCCATATAGCGATGCCCACACTTCTACATCCTAGAGGAAAAGCAGACTGAGACTGTGATAGAAGCCTAC